ACATCATACGAACATTCTAGGGTGGTCATGAGAATTTCACAAAGTAATGTGTATAAGAACAATGCTTACTACATGTGATAAAAGAATCAGTTACTAGCATTGTTGTACTGTCCCCATTTTACAGATGGGAAAACTAAGGTAAGGCTGACGGTGTTCAAATGACATATCTGCAGTCGCAAAACATGTCAGTGGCCTGGCCGCGGTCTCAGATGCTGGACTATATCCTTTGGTTACTAGTCTGGGCTTCTCCACTTTTCCCTGGGTCTTGGAATGAGGATGCAGAAGGCACGAGACAGGGAAGGAAGGCAAAAATCTAGCATTTTCCAGAAAGGAGCCTCTGATTACTCATCCTGGGAAGGCTTCAGCTCTGCCTCGTGTCTCCCTCCACCTCAACCTTCTCCCAGCACACGCCCAAGGCGGGGCTTCTTACAGTCCGCTGGCAGCAGGATGCCAGACGCCCACTGAAGGAAATGACCTGAGCTAAGCACCAATGGCCTCAACACAGCTTTATTAAAAATTAAGTCACAAATTATAACACCCACTGGGGAAGACTTGCTTTCCTCCCAATTATAGTTAATAGAAGAAAATTAATGTAGCAATTAATGTGGCTGCTCTACAGCCCGACATAACATGGGCAGGACCGGAGCTCCGGTTCTTACCACAGCCTGATAGCAGGAGAACGAGGGCCTGGAGCTTAATAAAGTTTTGCTTTCCCTGTGTTTAAACTCTCAGGCCATAACTTACTTAAGAAACACACAAAAAGGAGATTATTTAACATTTTAGAGGTTCCCACGAGCCATAAATCATTCTCACACATGCCATATTTGTTGAAAAGGACAGAATACATTCAATTTTACAGTATATTAAACTTCATCTAATTTGAACGTAAGAACAGACTAGCAAAATAAATGACCAATTTCTGAAGCAGAAATTACCATTTGGTTGGTGCCATTACAGAGCTGCTGGTATTTTATCATGTTCTTAACATAATATTGCTTGTCTAGCGATGCATAGTTATAATACTATTCCAAATTAGAAGGCGGTGAAAGAGAAGTGTGCACAGTTTTTTTTAATAGGCGTCATTTGTCAGATGTTATTCTGAGGGCTTTGTGCTGATGATAATATGCAGATTAGAGGAGATGTAAATAGGGGAGAAAAGGAGCTGCCACAAGAAGGAAACAGGTTTGTAGTCCTGAGCTCTCAGGAAGAATGAGATGGTCGGGCAGTCCCGGCCCCTGGACTCAGATAACAGTAATGAACTTGCAGGGAAGGGAGCAGAAGCTTGTGGTGTTCCACAAAAGGAAGACACAACCCACAGTTCCGCTGTGGGGCCCTCAACCTCTACTGTAACGGTGGTAATAACCACACTGCCCAGTCTGCTGTCATTTACGAACGGTTTTCCAACCCATTATCACACTGGATGGGCAAAGAAACCCCGAGAGGTGGCCACCTCGTTTCCTAATTAAGCCTTTGTTGAAGAGCAGAGGACTAAAGCTTGGCAGGGAGAAGGGATTCACTGGAGTCATGGAAGCTGGGAAATGACCAGGTTCCGGTCACAGGTTCCACCCTGACTGCGCTCGAGCCCTGCATGAGCCAGACAATCACACACTCTCAGGTGGCCTGCTCTGTCCCAAGTGCTCGAATAATACAGATCCTGGGGCCCTGACTTTCCAGAAAATCCATGCCTAAGAGGCCACAGAGCATATAGGTTAAACACATGGATGTTGGAATGAAACTGGCTGGGTCTGAATTCCATCCGTGTCCCTTACAAGCTATGTGACCTAAAGCAAGTTAGTCGATTTCCCCAGGCCCCAGTTTTCTTGTCTGTAAAAAAGGTATACTAGCAGCACCTGAAGCATAGGCTTGTAAAACTTCAGCTGCTTAAGATGTGCTTTGGACGTCATCTGCACAGTAAATGCTAGCTACTCTAATCTGCTTTATGTCCTGACTGTAAATCCCTCCCCACCCCAGTCTGGCTCACCCTCCTCTCTCCTTGGAATTTCCTGCTGCTTCCCCGCTCTTCCAGTCGATTCTGCATAGAAAAGCTCGCGGGAACTTTCTAGAGAAAATGTCCCTTCACCTGCCTCAACAGCTTTCCCACGGCCCTTCAGACAGAGCCTAAACTCTTAGAGGTGTCTGTGATCAGACCCTCCCCTCCCCTCCAGCATCTCCTCCTTGGAACGCAGGGCCATTTGGCCACTGCAGCAGGAATCTGGTGATTCACTCTCTCAACTTCCGCGCTCCAACCCTGCCAGATATCTTTCCACTCCAAAATGTCTGTCCTCTCTTGGTTTTATTCTCTTGCTCATCTCTTAGATTTTGCAAACTCCACTGGCTTTTCCTAGACTGCTCTGTCATGCCTCAGGTTAGAGAACGCTTGCTCTGGAAGCCAGTCTCACACCCAGGTCTAGCCGAGATGCCACTCTCTCCCCCACGGTACCGGTGTCTTCCTCCGTATGGCTCTTCTCACCCTGGCACAAGATTATTGGCCATCTTGCTGATGGACTCCAGACTGGGTCCTGCACATTTGCCATGTACAGCCCAAATGCTGAGCACAGGGCCTGGCATGTAGACAAAGCTCAATAACTACTGGTGAATTAATTAATTAATAAGACCAAGCAGCCTTGGAACATGGGCCTTCTCCTCATCCTCCGTGGTTCTACAATCTTGCAGCAAGGTGAAAGGGAGCCCCTGGCTGCCACGGCATTGCCAAGGTGTGCCAGACTGACTAGGGGCTCTCTGAAAGCCTCAGATTTATGCCCATGCTCATGACTGTGGGACCAACCTCCCAGCTCACATAAATCACCATGCAGCAATCTGGCTCCGAAGATGGGGAGCCTCCGAAGCTCACAGCACTTTGCAGAGGAGCTGCCAGAATTAGGCATAAATCCACTTCTTGATTGAATAAGCAAACACCCCACTGCTTGAAGTGATTTACTAAATTACAATGCATGGTGACAGACTTGGGAGATTCAGAGTATGGGCCTGCTTAGCAATCAGAAACCTCTAACCACCTGGCTCCCTCCACTGCCACCCTTCCCTGGTTTCATGTGAGCCTCTCTGCATCCGTTTGCCCACCCGATTGATATCCATGAACCCCACACTAGGCCAGATTGATGTACACATAGATTACTTGGCATCACTTTTATCTGCGCAACAACCCCAGAAAGTTGGTATCCCCTTTTTCTTACACCTTTCAGATGAAGGAACTGAGGTTCAGAGGTTAAGAAAGCTAACACCACCCAATATCACACAGCTATTAAATGGCAGCGTTCATGATCATCCCCCAAAATATCCACCAAAAAGTCCAAGAATTTGTCAACTGCAGGCTAGGTTCTCTACCGTCATGTTTTCTTATTCTTTGTCTCCACACACTTGATTCCTCTACTTTCTGTTTTATACTTTTTTCTTTCTTTTTTCCAACCCCTATGTGTCAGGATAGGTTAGGTAATGTCGAGGTAATAATATCTCCAAATCTTAGTGTCTTAATATGGCAGAAGGGGGTTGTTTGTTTTTTCTACTTCTTGTTCAGTCTACGTGCTTAATGCAATCTAGCTCAGAGTCTACTCCACATAGACAGTTGGAGACTTAGGCTGAGAGATTCTGCCCTCCTGCAGAATTGGAACACAAGGCCATTTGGTCACTGTGTCAGGAAAAGAGAATGAATACTGAAGTGACGCCCGATTCTGTTACTCACACTACTTGACATAACTAGTTAAATGGATCCACATAAACATTAAGTACAGTCTTCCATGTGCCTAAAAGGATATATGTATAAAGTTTTACTGACAAGAATCATACAATAACCTCATTCTCCTTGTCTTTTCATTCACTTCTTCCTTCACTGACTTCATACAATGTGCCAGGGCCCTAGGCTGAACATCACATCAGAGACACAAAAGTAGAGCAAAACACACACAGCCTTTACACTCCAAGGGCATCATGAATAGGAACGCACACACTAATCTAATAAACATGCAAGTAAATTAGGGTTGTCAGGTTGCGTGAAAGGTAAACAAATGGGTTTATGACAACCTATAGCAAGTGTGAATTAACCTTGGAATCAGAGAAGGCTTTTGCTTAAGTAAAGCTTTTGATTATAAGCTATGGAATCTACCTCTGGCCAAATTAAATAGATATGGAATTTAATTAAAAGATACTGGGTCGCTTACAGATTTGAATCAACACAGTTTCTGCATCTTTCAATTTGCTATCTTGGGCAGGTGCATCTGTTTGTTGGCAGTGGTGATCTTCCTCCTAGCTGCAAGAAGTTCTGGGGGGAAGTATCTGGCTCTGTTAGTTGCCAGGTAGCATACAAGTAATGAATATGTTCATTGCAACTACTCTGAAAAGTAAGGCTGAAGATAAGATGTTAAAGATGATCAGGAACTCACAGTGGGAAAGAGAAAAGGAAATGGTCATCTTAGGCTTTTCCTTTTTCCATGTTTCAAAAAAACCCAAATATAGACTTTTTTTGGTACCGGGGATTGAATTCAGGACCTTGTTCTTTCGAGACAGCCAGCGGCACCATTGAGCTAAATCCCTGGCCCAAAAAAACCCAAATATAAACAAAAGCACAGAAGATAGCCCAAAGAAACCCTGTGTATCCTTTACTATATTTCAGCAATTATCTACTCCATTTGTTTGGTTTTTTTTTTTGTACCACGGATCGAACTCGGGTCCTTGCACTTGCGAGGCAGGCGGCAGAACCACTGAGCTAAATCCCCGGCCCTGTACTCCATCCCAATCCACTTTCCCCTGCCCCATATGCATATTTTTTGAAAAATCCAAATGACATGCAAATGGTTTTTATGTATCTATGAACATAAGAACCCATTCATAAACACAACATAAGCTTGATGTGATCATCACACTTAAAAATAATAATTGTTTGGTATCAGCAAATATGTAGTCTGTATTTGTATTTTATAGCCATCCTTAAAATTGCTGTACAGTGTGATAGACCAGAATCCAAATGAATTGTGTGCATTTTGACTGACTTATGTCTCTTATTTTTTTTAATACATACATCACCTCTTTATCTTTCACATAATAGACAGAGAAGGTTTGAACAAGACATAAGATACAGATGTAGATGTAAACACTGACTTGTGTAGATATGCATACAGAGACTGAATGATATAGACATAAACTTAGGTAGAGGGAAAAAAAAGAGACACGATGATAGAGATAAGCATAAATTAGGCATAAACATAAATACAATAACTAGCAAAGACTGATGGGTTTCCTACGACCTGAATTTTGCCAGTTGTCCTTCTACCGCTCTATTTCCTATACATAGGGGGCAGAGTAAGAGATGTGCTCAGACTCAGTCTCGGTATTTGGCATGATCACCGCAGAAGATGTGTTCTTCCATTAGAAGATGGTCACTTCTGGTTGTATGCATTCTTGTCCTGGTAGCAGCTACTGTTAGTCATTGACCACATCTTTCCATGCAACGTGGTAGTGTTTGCATTATATTATTTTTCTTTGTTAGCTGGAATATAAAATTAACATAAGTGAGTCAAGATACAGTACATCCTCAGTTCTTTGCTTTATTCACTAGTTTTCAAAACAATGAATTGGTTCTCTGGCATTTTCCAACAATAAACAATGAGGGTTTTTTTAGAATTATGATGTGCTCATAAATTGAAACTTACTCGCATTGCAATATATTGCAGCTAGTATTCTTACTTATGCTCTAGTTCTCCTACTTTTAGCCATGGGGTGAAAGGTGTCTTATTCATGTTGATGTCTAAATCCCTTATTGAGCTTCCTAGAATGACCTTGCAAATTTCCTACCCTAGTGCTCTATTCCATCCCTGTGCCAGCTTTCTCTGATTCTTTGAGTGGAAAGTGTATTTGAGATCACAACATGGGCACAGGTGTTCACGGCTACTGAGTAGTTTATTGTCTCTAAACTTTTCTAGTGAACTTGTTTCATATTTAATCTTCCTCTTAATATCTTAATTCCTTCAAATTTCTTAAACCTCCCCTGCTTTTTATTCTATTGAGGAAGAAAGAGAATGAATGCCTGATGTTCTGTGAGAAAGACTATCATAATGCAGGGAAAGGGGGCAAGCTAGCTTGCGGATAAGTGCCTAACAGTTCCTTAATCTAAGTTTCAATGAGATGAACTTGTAAACATTCTATAGCCCCCGATTCTCCAGCCCCATTAACATGGCCCAGCAGAAAGAATTGCATATGAGTATAATCAGTATGTTGAACACGAGTTCTCTAACAGAGAGTTTTACAAAGGGCTGGATTCTCCATCTCTTATGGAATTTCCCATGAGAAATAATCTAATTGAGTCATTTACTCTCCACTGTAGTCAGGTAGCCACCATGCAATACAGCACATCTGTATCGGGAAGAATTCCCATACTGGGTCATAACGTTTACTATCAGTCTAAGATCAAACAACTCCTAATGCTGTCAGCTATAGCCATGGTTCAAAGCATTGATAGGCACACATAAAGGTTTGCTTATGGTCTTGTTGCTCAGAAGGAGCGTGCAGAAGTAAGAGGCATCCTGAGATTCATAAATTCTTCCCCAGTTTGGCCAAACTCCAGCCAGCCTTTCTCCTGCATATATCCAGACCATGAGCATCTCAAACTTCATACTAAAACAAATTTTTCATCATCTTCAAAATCCTTATTTTTCCCCTGTATACCTTTAGTTCCATAGACAAGAATTCATAGAACTTTCTTCTTGCTTCATCAAATACATCCAATACTTCCAGTTTATCTCTATTTATCTCTCAGATACATCTGGGGATCTGGCTTGAGTTTAAGACCTCATTATTCTCTATTTGGTATATTGTAAAAGTACCTATTTTATCTTGCTGATTTCAGTCCAGCTTAAAGCATGCACAGTGCCATTAAACTTGTGTATAACTTTCTTCCTTTGATATGCCATTTCCTGTACCTACACGGTCTGTCATTCTGTGCTTGACCAACCTCCACTAATTCTTTAAATTTGGCAGAAATATTACTTTTTCTGTAAGGAATTCCCTAGCATTCTCCTGTCTCAGCCAATCAGACCCCCCAATCCAGCTCTTTGTAAAACGCTCTGTTAGAGAACTCATGTTGGACATACTGATTATACTCACATGAAGAAGGAAGATCAGAAAGCAGACCTTGAAAACTGGGGTGTTTATACATGACAATGACAGTAGAAGAAGGTGTATCAGTGTAGTGGGGTAGCCAGAGCACAGGAACGTGAATACGCATATTCCCAAGTTCCTTTAGATATCCAGTGGGCTCCCTAAATTCTGTGGGGAAACCATGGAAAAGTTTCCCAGTACGAGGTAGGGTATAGAGTTAGGGTAACTGGGGTATTGATGTTAATGTACTCTCCTTTGTAATCACAGCATAGCCCACCTAGGGCATCAGAACTATTTATATTCGTCTTGCTCCTTGCAATAAATTCCCTTGTCTCTTTTGTGTGTAACCCTAATAAGCCTGGTTAAAGGGAAAGGAAATATAGACTTGACTGGCACTAAATGGCATATAGGTGGTAGCTAAAGTCTTTTCTAATTAACCCCTTCCTGCTTGACACTTAATGTGCTTTGGGCTTCCACTGAGAGATCAAGAATGTGACAGATGAATGTATTAGTTTTCTGTTTTGTAATAATTGGCCTCAAGCAATTGATGTGACACCATAGCTTGTGGTTTTCTTTTAGCATCTCAGTGATGGGAGGGTGTAGAACAGTTCATACCACATCTTTCTTTCTTTCTCTCTTTCTTTCTCTCTCTTTCTTTCTTTCTTTCTCAGGGATCAAACTCGGGTCCTTGCGCTTGTGAGGCAGGCGGCAGAACCACTGAGCTAAATCCCCGGCCCTATCTTTATTTTCATACTATAAGTTTGCCAGTGGCACAGTCATGGGACCACGGAGATGCTCAATAAATGCTTCTCGCTGACAACTCACTTTTAATTATTTTTTTTGCCCTCCCGTACTTGTTTACAGTCAGGTAACCTGTTAAGTACCAGGCACATGTAGAAATGTATGGTCCAGGTAATCCGCTGTAAATGCAATGTATTTCCCATTTGTGTGCCTATTTCCTTTACTTGAAAGTTTGGTTCGGAACATGGGAGCTTGCTTGCTGGGGCATTTCTTTTACTGCCTATGGCACCAGCCTGTCAATGACAGGAGAAGGCTTTCTTTTGTTTTATTATTTTGTGTAACTTTTCTTGTCCCCTCGACCTCTCTGAGACATTCTGTCCACACTGGCTCTGAGCTGAGAGGCAGCTCTGTCAAGAAGCAGCTGGATTTGCAATATGTGCCCTTGGGAAAGAAGTGCTGGGGTGGAGACTGGCTCTCTCAGCCTGGAAAAGCTGCCAACACGTTTCCAAAGCACCCACAGTCCATGTGGTTTCCTTATGCTGGCCCAGGCTCCCATCACAACAGTGCCAACTGTCAGAAGGACGCATATTTGCTCAAGGGCAGGGCAAGATCAGGATGGCAATGCATGAAAAGGGGAGCGGAGACCAGTTCTGGTCGTCCAGGTGTCTGATTTCATTTTACTTGGTCCTTACACAAACCCAGGACACTGTACCCCTATTTGGCAGATGAGAGAATAAAGTTCCTTCAGCCAGTCATCAGTAGATTTTATGCCAGATCTTCTTGACACCAAAGACTGCTACCACCACTCTGCACTGTGTTGTTGCTGGGATTCAAGAAGCAGCAATGGCAGATCCAAGGCCTAATGGCGAAGTAAATGTAAGTATTCCAAACATCCAAAGTGGAACTCCATTAAAGATTTAGTCTTCCTGCAGGAAACAAACCAAGTCAGCAACAGACATCACTCCTCACCTCCACTCCTTACTTCTAGTGCCAGCCCTGATCCATCCTTTCCTTATCTCTTTCTCCCCCAAACTAACTGCTCTCCCCAAAGCCTTCTATCATTATAGCAGCCATAGCAGTGACTCTGCTTCTCCTTTATTCAGAATTTTCCAAAGGCTCCTCCTCTATCTCAGAGTAAAAGGCAGAAGGTGGTTAATAATCAACATCACCCCACCCTCTACAGCTTGGTTTACTGCTGTATCTCTTGTGCCTGCTACACAGGAAGCGCTCAGTAAATGTTTGTTCAATGAAGAGAAAATGAGGTGGAAGTCCGGGTGCAGATCATTATGTTAAAGTTAATGTAGTAGACTGCTTCTCAAATGGTTCTCAAAGATCCCAGCTTCTCAATGTTCATGCCTTTGTGTGGTTTCTTCCCTAGAGTGTGGTGGCACCTGTGACTTGCTTGTAACCAGTAGAATATGGCCAAGATGACAGGATACAAGTGATGGGGAAGTGATATGTCCTAAAATTGTAGTGCTGCTCTTGCTCTCATTCTCCTTTGGCTCTCAATAAGAAAATGGCTATGAGTTACGCTACCTACGGTGGAAAGTCCACACATCCAATGAGTAAGCCTGATCCTAAATAGTCGAGGCAGCCTCTGAACGGTATGCATTAAGCAGCTGAAGTCCTCAGTTTCATAGTCAGAGAGGCTTATCCCATTGCTTTTTTAAATGTTGCTCTTTATAATTTGGAGTTCTTGTATGATATTTAGGCTTGCATGTCTGGTTTATTTCACTTAACATTATGGCCCTCTCCCCAGATGACCATTACTGCAATTGCATCTTCATTGTCAACTTGACTGGATTGAGAAATGCCTGGAAAATTAATAACTCACATTTCTGGGTGTTCCTGTGAGGTGTTTCCAGAGATCACTGGCATTGGGGACAGCAAAGGGAGGGAGGAGACCTGCTCAGAATGTGGGGGGCACCTTCCAATACAGTGGGAGCCCACACAGAACAAAAACAGAGGGAAGCCCCCTGGCACATGCTCTAGCTATCTTTCCTTGCTGGCTGCCATAAAATAGCAGCTTTGCTCTACCACATGCACCTCCCCAACAATTCTGTCTAACCCTGGACTCAGAAGCAACAGAGCCAAATGAACAGGGCTTGAAACTTGTGAAGCCATGAGCTACAGTAAACCCTTCCCCTTTAAATTGTGTATGTCAAATATTTTGTTATAGTGACCGAAAGCTCATTATTGTAGCAACCTTGTAAGACTTGGCAAGGGCCCTAGCTCTGCTATGCTTGAATCTATAATATAGATCCAAGGTCTATAATATAACACATATGTGTTGCTTTCGGCCTCTAAATGTGATGATTTGTTGCTCAGAAATAGAAAGCTAATACAAACAGACTAAAATCCATGGATCACATGGAGGATCGAAGTCTAACATGATGTATCAGTTAGCTTTTGCTGTGTAACAAGCATCTCTAAGACTTTAATAGTTTTAGTGACAAACGACAGCTATGGAGATTGAGAGAATTTGTTTTGGTATGGGCTAGAGGTCACATCTCCACTAGACTCTCCCAGGCATCTTAGGGCACCTGGCAGGCCAGTTGGATGATCTAGGATGGACTCATTCCTCTATGGTGATGGGCAGATTGTTAGCTTGTGTGATGGAGGAAACAGGGCCATATGACTTTCATTATCCTGCAGGGTAATTTGGGGTTCTTGTTATGATGGCTCTGAGCTGCAATAGAGAGTAAACCTCAAGACCCAAGCACTGTTTAAGTGCCAGCCTACGTCACCTTTGCTGACATCCCCTAAACCAAAGCAAGTCACCTGACTAAGCTAGATGTAAGGATGGGGAAACTGATTCCACATTTAATGGGAGGAGTGGCAAAGTCACCTTCCAGTGGAGCATGGGAATGGGAGGGGTTTGTAGTCATTTGTCACTCTACTCACAGTAGAAAAATTGTTCTAGGCACTTGGTGGGGGCTAATGCTAATATTTATCCTCAGGTGAGAGTGAGCTAATATGGAATAGGCTTTACTGGAAGAAGAGGGGTCAGGACACTGGCCAGCACAATGGTACTGTGGAAGCTAGAACTGGTCCTCTCCCTTTCTTCCATCTTGATCTCTCAGACAGAAGAAATCTCCTTTATCTTCAATTCTTCCTTCTCACTCCTCTGGCTGTTTAATCCATTGTGAAGACCTATCACTTCTTCATCCATATTGCCTTCTCCATTCATTCATTCATTCATTCAGTAATAATCTTTTAGTGCATACAATGAAATAGACTTTAAATAATTGATTCTTCCAATCACACAAACTACCCTTTCTATTATTATATTTTTCTTATACATTTGACACAAGCATTCATAAGTGGACACACACACACACATACACACACATTTTGATTGTTTTTCAAAACTGTTTTCTTTTGTGCCGGGGATTTAGCTCAGTGGTTCCGCCACCTGCCTCGGAAGTGCAAGGTCCCAAGTTCAGTCCCTGGTAACCGCCCCCCAAAATGTTTTCTTTCATGTATATCAAATGGATCTGAAATAAAAGTACCTTTCAAAACCTACTGCTTCTCTCAAAAATTGCTGCATAGGTGGAAAGAAACCCCTTGCAAGACAAAACACTTTGGAAACAAGGCTTTAGAAGGTAAGGACAGAATATTCACCATTGGCCAGGTCCGGGGATTTAGCTCAGTGGTTCAGATGATCTGCCTCACAAGAGTAAGGTCCCAATTTCAATCCCCAGTACCAAAAACAAAACAAAAAACCCCCACCATTGGCCACCTTCTTGGCATTGGGCATTGAAGACTCTGAGCTGTATCTATTATGATGGGAATGTGGAAGAGAAAAAATTAATAGTTTAGTTGAAGCTTCAAGTGTTGGTCTTCTCTGCAAGAATTGAGATTCTGATTGTCCACAAGACCCTCTGTGATGAACATAAGCTTTGGAATTCCTGAATCAACTCATTCCATAAGTTGGTATTCAGTACCTACAACATGCCGGGCTCTGTGCTTGGTACTGAGGAAGGGTGATCATTGCAGACTGCATGGGTTACTCTAAAATTCAGGTGTTGAAGCTTTAATTTCCAATGTGATGATATTTGGAGATGGTGCTTTTGGGGTTAATTAGGTCATGAGGGGAGCCATCTCCATCCAGTGGAATTTGTACCTTTAGAAAAAGAGACACAAAAGTGTTCTTGTGATCCCTCTCTCTCTCTCTCTCTCTCTCTCTCTTCCTTTCTCCACACAAAAGAAAGGTCATATAAGTACATAACAAGATGCCAGCTACATACAAGCTGAAAAAAGATCCCTTACTGGAATGTGGCCAAACTGGTGAGCTAATCATGGACTTCCAGCCTCCAGAACTGTGGGAAAATAAAGCACTGTTGTTTACATGGTCTGTGATTCTTTACTGGTAGCCCAAGCAGACTAAGACAATGGTGAACAAGATGGAGGAGGTCTGCCCTCTTACATTCTAAGAGGGAGGCAGGGGGAAGGGAGGGAGAGATTGAGAGAGAGAGAATATAATGAAGCATGTAGGTGTATAAGACAGTTTCAGCATGCAGTGCTACATGTTACTTTGGAAGTAAAATTGACTAAAAGGCTGGAGGGAAACAAAAGGAAGGGCTGGTGTGGTTCATTGATAAGGGATCTAGGAAACAGCTTCTTTCCATGTTTCTGAATGCCAACAAGAACATATCTATGAAGCAAGGCAGCCCAGTCAAGAAGAGATACCTTTCCCGGGCTTGGATCTCCCATTTGGGTAGACGCCATGGTGGGCACAATGCAAGAGTGGATCAGATGCAACTATGGTGTGCAGGTAACAAATGTCCAAGGTGAAGGATAGAAGTTTGGAGGGTCTGCAGCAATAAAGGGCTCCCAGCAGAGATGTCCATCCTGCCTTCCTGGAGAAGTCACCTGGGGCATTTTAAAACTTAACATCTAACCTCCGGGCCCATTGACTCTGATGCTCTTGGTATGAAGTGAAAACAGACCACATGCTTGCTGTTAAACCTTCCTAGTGATTCTAGTGGGTGATTCTCCCCCATGGGTGAGAACCACTAGGTCAAAACACCTCCTAAATATTCAACGGTTTTTGCTAAAATCCAAATGGAATTCTTAAATTTCAACATGCCTCCTGCATCAATTTCCCAATTTTATTTTATTTTTATCTTGTTTCCTTAGTTAGTTATCCCATATTCCGAAGGGTTAATTCCTGCCTCTTCTGTTGCAGTGAAGTTTTCCCACCTACTGCAGTCAAGTAGGTGGGCTTTCCATTATGATGAAATGTGACATGACAAAGAGTCAGCAGAAGAATTCAAAAGACTCAGCGCTACGCAGAAATCTGGCACAAAGCCAACAGTCTTGCCCATTTAAAAGACCCCAAAGTCTTTTTTAAAAGAGTGATAGCATCCAATACAGCAATTCTCAAGTGTGGTCCCCAGATCTGCGACATGAGCACCACCTGAGAATTTGTGGGAAATGTAGATTACCAGGGCTTCCCCCAACCTACTACATTTGTGGGGAAAGGGGAGGCAGTAATGTGTGCTTTAACTGGCCTACAGATCATTCTTACAGAAACTCAAGATGGAAAACCACTGTAGAGGCAGCTTAAAGGAAGGCTATGGGCAAAGGTAGATCTTGCTTGTCTAGGTGTATGTGATGTGTTTTAAACAGGTTTCCGGCAGCCCATTTTAAGTCTACCATCCAGAGACTGCAATGAGGAGTTCCTCCATTGACTTTACCTACGCTCCTTCTGCTCATTTGTTCAGGAAGAAATGTGAGTGCTGACTTCTCCCTAAGCGTGTAGACCTGACCTCTCTTAGTGGCAGAGATATGGGAACAAATAATTACAACACAGAGGAGAGAAGTCACCAGGCCTCTGCGCGGCCTTTGAAGCCCAGAGGAGGGCGAGACTGACAACTCTGCCCGGGGCAATCCAGCAGGTTCCCAGACAAAGTCTGCCCCCCCTGAGTCTCCAAAGATGGGGGCCGGCCATTCACGGGGCTCAGAAGGGGGCCGGAAGTAAAGCTTGCCAGGCAAGGACACAAACACATAAAAGAACAGGTGTACAAGAAAGGAGCCACAAGCCCCTTTCCCTTCACGGGTAGTGCGTGTCAGGAATAGGATGGGAGCCGGGAATTCTGTGCTATGGTGAGCCCAAGAAATGCGCTGTAATCGAGATGCCGCGGCAGCTGAATTTTGCACAGGGAATGTGTAAACTTTTCAGTCTGGATCCCCCCTTTCCTACCTCTGGACCCTTCCGTGAGACCCGTCAGCTCCTGAGATCAATATTTCTGTTTCTTCCCCTCAGCCTGGCTCCCAGCTTCTCTTATCAGGATTCTTCCAACAGGGCCTGTGTCTTTTTCAGCTCGCACCTGCAGTGCTTGCAAGGGAGGCGAGAGTGTGCAGTGGAAATCGGGACAAGGGCTCAGAGGTGCACTTCCGGGCTGTGCCTGCTCTCAAGGGGCAGGTGTGTGCATGTGCGCATGCGCGGGACGGGCCGGCCAAAGGTCCCGCCCTGGAGGCTGGCTTACAGAGCTTGACGGGAGTTTAACATTCATCTGCCTCTTCCTCGATCCACTACAGCAAGTGGCCCAATGCGGGCAGCATTTTTCCAACAGCACAAAGCAACGATCCCATTGGAAAGCAGCATGCAGTAATTAGCTGTACCCAAATCTATCTGGTATCAGAAACTCCTGCAAGGTTTTCTATCAGTAGCCCAGGAAGATGCAGACCCCTCCTCAGACTAAAAATAACACGTGAGCAGTTCCCAGAGGACGATCTGGGCTACCAGAGAAATGGAGTAAGAGGAAGGTAAAGAAAGTAACAGTAGTAGATATTTACTACACTTGGATCCAAATTTGAGCTCCATAAATGGGTGAACTGAGAGCAAAATACAAGGCTGAACTAAAATATTTTGGGGAATCTGTATTTTTTAAAATAAAGTTCCCTAGATACTCTTCTATACAGCCAAGTTTGAGAAACACAATGAGGGTAGGTTGGGATGGACTGGTATATATTAGGGTTTTTCTCAATTCTCACTCCAAAGTCTTAATTCTTACTGACAAAAGGCAAAACAAGCATTCATTGCTTGTGAAACTTATCCGAGAAATAATAGCACTTGGCATGACTGGGTCCAGAAGCTCTGACTAATGTCACCAACAATCTCTCTTCATGTCTCAACTCTGCTTTATTTTGGGGTGGACTTTCCCCTCTAGAGATAAAAATAGACAGTAATGACTGGGAGTTTACATGCTATCTTCTTAGGAACTCTGGCAGAATGCAAACAGTTCCATTCAGATTCTCAAATGGGCAATGGTTCCCCGAGGTTTAAATCAGTGGTTGGTTGTATAAACAATTTCTGAAAGTCCAGGCTTTATCATTTCTTATGTAATGGGGAAATGGCAAATTATACTCTTTCAGCTTCTTTTTTTCTCATTTGAGAAGGGGAGAGAAAGGTACAACAACCTTTTCTTCTGAGAATTACGTAAGATAATATAAATAAAAACATGGTACATGTCATAAAATACAATTTCAGTATTTGCTGGTTTATTATCTAAAGTGCACACTTTCTAATATACTCTGGGCCTTTGGAAAACACCAAGTTGCTTCTTTTCCCCTCAAGCAAGTTGGGAGATGCAGGAGGCTACAAAGAACAGTGTCGGCTCCTTTGTAACTAGTTCTGGGCACTGCTGTTACCAGCAGTGGTTGAGCAGGCCTGAGCAGGCAGGAGGGCTTCCGTCCACGATGCAGCTCTGCCCCTGCCCAAAATGTGCCCTCCTAGTGTTGGATCCACTAAAGCACCTAAGTTTTATTTTATTTTCACCAATCTACATGGAAATTTCTCTCAGATTGTAACACACAAGGAGGACATTTTCTATGACTGTTCATTGTGGTTTTTATAATTATATTTTAGTTTATTGCGGTGCTGAAGGCAAAGCAAGGGCTTCCTGCATGTCATGCAAGGGCTCTACCTTCGAGCCACATTCCTAGCCCTATTTGTTGCTTTTGACCTGGAAGTACAATGATAAGCACATGAAATCTAAACACTGATAACCTGGGTCCTAATTTTGGTTTCTTCACTTAAAGAGAAGTATTTGAACTCTTCGAGGACCCTGAGCTTCCTCATCTGTAAAATGCAGATCAGTAGTGTCTACCTCATTGGTTTGTTCATTCTTTCAAAAATACATGCTGTACACATTTCCTCTTCCAGATACTGTTCTAGGCCTGGGTGATGCTCCCATGAAAGAGAAGACACAAGAAGTCTGGCCCTGTGTTCTGGAGAGGATGAATGAACTGCTGTGTGTAAAATGCTTAGACTGTAGGAGCAATGGGAGTGTTAGCTACTTCTGTTGTATCATTGCTGCTGTTAATGCTTGAGCTGCTACCACTACTACTGCGATCACAACTCGGAGCAGCTGCTACTATCGCTGCTGCTATTACTACTCTAAGGTGATCAAAAAATTAGCTGTGTGTTTAAATTTCAAAATTACTACAGTAAAAGACATACTGCCATTAGCCCATCCCCCAAAATACACCCTCTCCCTTCACACACACTTGTGTCTCATCATTCTTGCCACTTTCTGAAGCAGTTCTGGAAGTCCTCTTTCAGGAGTGTCTTTCATTGCACTGTTGTGGCTCCCTTCCTGAATCATTTAAAATATTCACCTTTTGTTATGTTAAGTCTAAAAGTTCCTTCCCAATTCTCATGTCTGCAAAGTGATTGGATCATGGAGTAGTACTATACTCACAAGTGGATTCTCCCACTGAGGTGTACAGTAGCTAACTGTGCTGTTGGGAGGGGGGTTCTGCTCAGCAAAAGTGGGTCATTGGTGGCGTAACCTGGAAGGGCTGATCTCCCACCCTGTTCCTCCCTTCTCACTCCGCTTACCAGCCTCTGTGACTCAAGTAGCGTTCTTCAGCCAGGCCCGTCCACCATGACCTTCTTCCCTTGGAGCCTGAATCCTCTAAAAACCGTAAGCCAAGATAATCCTCTCTTCCTTCAACTTGTGGGTGTCAGGGATTCTATCTCAGCAATGGGAAAGGGAATGAGACATGTTTCAAGGTTGTTTTGACTTTGGAGAAGAGCTAGAAGTCTCACAGTCCCAAATCTGGTGGAGAAGGTAGATGAGGACACACTGCAGTGTTTTGTGAGCCTGTCTTTCTGTTGAATTATACTCAGCAGCAGCATTCACCATGTTTTTAATCACACCTTGTAATGACACAAAAAGCCTTCCAAAATTGCTTCACAAAGTGGCAAGAATAATGGGATAAGTATGCTTGAAGCAAAAGGGAGTATTTTGAAGGAGAGTTATTGGAAATATGCCTTTTACTATAATAATTTTTAATTTAAAAAATTCATCATATTTTTCAGACTCCCCTTGTATTATAACCAGTATATTTATTTATTTACTGTATTTATTGCTGCTGGTATTTCCCCTATTAGGACTGTTGCTGCTACTATTGCAACTTCTACTGCTGCTGCTGCTATTACTACTGTCGCTGCAGTGTTTTCAGTTAGAGAGACAGGATACTGAGACCTATTTCCCAGAAAGCAGATTTATTCATGCCAGCTCTTAGTGGATTTGTATTCACAGGCAGAGTGCCAAACATGGCATAGTTGTACCCTTTTGTACAATTTTTGTGTCTTTGTCTCCCTTATATACTAGCATCCTACAGTCTGGCTGGGTATGATTTACGTTACAGAGTTATATGAGAACTACACATGGTACACAGAGGCTCCTATTGCTCCATTGTAAAAGCCCCTGCCCTGACACATCAGAAATTCCCTACCACATCCCCCCTTTGATGCTTAGCCCCATTCAATTTTGGGTCAAAGAGCATCATCCTGGTTCAGAGGTTTATATTTCCATAATATCATCATGTGTGTGGCCATTTTTCTTTCAACCATCATCTCAGTGAGGCTGGAGCCAGAGCTTATAACCAAGGGAGCCAGGCAAGGCAGGATCAAACAGGTTCTCAAGTCTGGAGTGTGATCCTACTATGGTTTTGAATCTCTGAGAGTTGGAAATCATCCCCAAACACTTCCCAGGTGTCCTAACCTTCCCAGGTCTGGGTTGGAGCATGAGCAATTTCCTTAGTTTGATCTGTAATCTCCTCTGTGACCTCCCTCATCATGTATTCGTGGGCAGCAGTTGCTTAGGTTAAGTCTCCCACAAACCTCTCCCTCAGAACCAAGCAGATAATCTAAGGCCAAGAGATTTTGATAGATTGCAGTGTGCATTTTGGTCCACTGTTGGGCTAACAAGTTAAGAGCTTTGGCAGTTTCATTAGTTATAATTTCCACAAAATTGGAAGTCTAATTATATGGTTTAGCGTATAAATAGGGGGTAGAGTAGCCCCAGGATATATCCTCTGCCCAGGTGCCAGGACCATAGTACTGAATTATGTTTTCAGGGCAGCATTTGCTGTCTTTCCAATTGTCAGTTTGCAGGGAGCATCATTTTCTATGGGTCCCTTTGTCCTCATACACTTGGACCCCCAGATATCTCCCCTGGCAGCTGGGAGTAGAGAGAAAGATGGGAAGATCGTCCCTGATACACCAGACCTTGACTGGTTTGGGGGAATACAGCATAGGTGATCTTCCTCATATCCAGTACATTCCATCTGGGGCCGCCATTCAATGTCTGACTTGACATCATCCCAGAAACCCTTAGATGAGAACAGTTGGACAAGAGGTGAGGGTTTGATTCAAAGTAGTCAGGAAGCCCCCACCCTTGGGTCTTCCAGGCAGCTGAGTTGTAGAACCTTTGAACTAGACACACATTTGCTCCCTACGGAAACCTTGAACTTCTCCCCACCAGGCAAGACAGTTTCTTCCGGTTATGAGATCTTGAGAAGCCAAACCCCTGAGGTGGAGCTGGGGTACCCTGTGCCAGTATAAGGTTCACGGAGATCTAACTCTCTAGCTTCCCATGGCCACTGATCCCCCATGGCAGTTCCCCCACACACATAGCAAGAAGACACCTTCAGAGTCTGGGCCACGGTCTCTGCTAAGGCTAAAAACAAGTTTTTGGTGGTAGCCAGGATTGGAGGGGCACTACTTTCCATTCCCTTATAAAATGAGTCAAAAACCTGCTAAGATGTGGTCACTCGGATGGAAGTGACCCTCTTGAAATGTAGTGCAGTCCCTCAGTCAATGCCTTGCATATACGTATCTCCCAATCCAGAGGCCATTTTCTACTTTGGGTCTCCTGGGTTAAAGACAGTAAAATGAATGGGGTTACAAGTTCCCAATTCACAGCTGAGAGCAGTAGCCCCCTTTTGGAGGCATACTACCTCATCTTCACCCTTGTTATGGTGACCCAGGGCTTATTACCCCTATTGGATCCGTGTCTCACCCAGTGGGGCATCAGCCCAGGGCTCACAGGAACCTGAAGATGGGGGAGAGCTGTTCATACTCATCACTGAGCCAGGACTCCCATTCCCACAATAGCCCTCCACATTTTAGGACTATCCAGGGAGTTTTACTAAAGGCAGCACACACATCAAAAAATACCGATACTGAACCAAGATACATTATGTACAGGTACAAGCACCCAATGATAAATGTAAACATATTGTATACCTAAAATGTACCAATAAAAGAATTTAAGGAAAAAAAAGCAATGAACATCAATAAGCAATAAAGCACCCCCCCCCAAAAAAAAAACCCCAATACTGTCGGGTAGGGATTTGTAACCCAGGTTTTGCTAGTTAATGGTCCTTCACCTTGGGAGTATGGGACTTTGAACCATTCGCGAGTGGGGGAATACTTGGGGTCGAAACAGGTGTGCTGATATGTTGGCAGATAGAATAGGTTGCCTTACGGTGTGTCGTACTCAGCGTCAGAATCCTTGAGGGGCTGATATCCTCAGTTGGTTGGCTGGAGAACACTTC